ACTGAGGCAGAAGGATCACCGGAGCCCAGCAGGTCGAGGCTGCGGTGGCCAGGAGCGGCCACTGCACTCCAGTCTGGGCGACCAAGTGAGACTCCAACTCAAAAAAAAGAAACAAAAAACCCCCCAAAAAACAGAGTCCACGCTCCCTCTCACACGGCCCCTCTGCATCAGCCACCTTCTGTCTCAGTCACTTTCTGGCCACAGCTTCCAAACTCAAACTACCAGGGTGGTGCCCTCACTTCACATACTGGCCATGATGCAGTGACTGTTCAGTAGGTGCCCTTACACACAATAGGTGCTCAATAAATCCCTGCTGAGCCCATGACAACAGCAAAGGTAGGCCCTTGACTCCTGCGCTGCGTTTGAATGTCAACCTTCAAAATTCTACCCAGAACTTCAGGGTGACTTCATTTGGAAATAGGGTCCTTGTTGAAGTAATTAGTAAAGATGAGGTCACACAGGATTACATTGGCCCTAAGTGCAGTGCCTGGTGTCCTAAGAACAAGAGAGCCAACCTGGGCAACACAGCAAGACCTCATCTGTACAAAAAATTACTTGAGACTGGGCGCTCATGCCTGCCTCCCAGTATTTTGGGAGGCAGAAGTGAAAGGACTGCCTGAGCCTAGGGGTTCAAGACCAGCCTAGACAACTTGGAGAGACCTCGTCTCTATAGTAAAGCAAAACTCTGGCTGGGTGTGGTGGCGCACACCTGTGGTTCCAACTACATGGAAGGCTGAGAAGGAAGGATTGCCTGAGCCCAGCAAGTCAAGGCGGTGGTAGTTGTGAGCATGTCACTGTACTCCAGCCTGAAACACAGTGAAACTCTGACTAAAAAAAAAAAAATTAGTTGAGCATGGCAGCGTGTCTATAGTCCCAGTTACTTGGGAGGCTGAAGTGAAAGGATTGCTTGAGTCCAGGAGGTTGAGGCTGTGATGAGCCTTGATTGTGCCACTACACTCCAACCTGGATGAGAGAGTGAGATACCGACTCAAAAAAAAAAAAAAAAGAAGAAGAGGTGAGGACACAGAGGGGGAAAAGGCTGTTTAACAAACAACAAAGGCACATCTGGAAGAGACAGAAAGCATCTCCCCTGATGCTTCCAGAGGGAGTGCAGCCCTGCAGATCTTGAACTGGTGACCTCTATGACCGTGGAGAATGTTTCTACCATTATACGCTTCCAAGCTTGAGGTCATTTGGTTTTGGTCTTTGTGTTTTGAGTCAGGGTCTCACTCTGTCACCCAGGCTGGACTGCAGTGGCACAATCACAGCTCACCACAGCCTCAACCTGGACTCAGGCAATCCTCCTGCCTCCTGAGCCCATGACAACAGCAAAGGTAGGCCCTTGACTCCTGCCCTGTTTGAACGTCAACCTCCAAAATTCCACCCAGAACCTCAGGGTGACCTCATTTGGAAATAGGGTCCTTGTTGAAGCAATTAGTAAAGATGAGATCACACGGGATTGCAGTGGCCCTAATTCTGGGACTACAGGTATGCACTACCACGTCCGGATAATATTTTGATATTTTGTAGAGATGAGGTCTTGCTATGTTGCCCAGGCTGGTCTTGAACTCCTGGGTTCAAGCAATCCTCCCACCTCAGCCTCCCAAAGTGCTGAGATTACAGAAGTGAGCCACTGCACCTGGCTATGGTCATTTGCTATGGGGGAAAACCTCAAAGGGACAGTGTGTGGGAGGTCTGATAGCCCGTGGACATCCTGTCTGGAGGACTGGTGCACACCAGGACCAGGGCACTGTCCCCAACTCCAGAGGAAGGTGCCCACAGCTTGGGTGGCTGAAAGGAAACCAAGCTCAGCTCCCCGTTATACTGATGGTGCTGGCGACGGCCACAGTAGCTCAGTGACTGGGAACATCCACAAATGGCTTTGGTGGGCTCCCACACCCGCAAGTTCACAAAGGAGGCCCCAGAGCAGAGGCGGCAAGGGGGAAAGAGAGGGGAGGGGCAGAATGGAGAAGCGGGGAGAGCTGACACTTACTCCAGCAGCCGCTGGTGGTTGAGCTCATGGGAGGGAGGCAGCCGGCAGCAGCTGAACGTGACCACGCGTCTTCCAAAGTGGTCTTCGCCTGGAGGACAGACACAGGGTGAGTTCTGTGTACCTTCTGGAAGAGTCCCAGGCACTTAGCACACAGTCTCCCCACCAGCGCCACTCGGGCTGGAGGCACAGGTGGCCAGCGGGCCACAGAGGCAACCCCTGCTGCGTGAGCATCCAAGACACACTGCTTTACATGCATTGCCCAAGTTCATCTTCGTGGCCAGTCTGCACACTGGAAATAATGACCCCATTTTACAGGTGGAAAACTGAGGGTCCTGCAGGGCTCAGTAACTGGTACAAAGCCACACATCTGGTAGAAGGCACCGAGAACTTAAGCCTGGACACATCTGACTTCAAAGCCAGTATCTGACGGCTCTGTCTGCCATACCTGGACCCTCTCTGGGATTCTGGGCCCTGGGGAGGCCGGGGTGACCTGGGGCCAGTGGCTTTTGGCATGCCTTTATGTTGGAGGAACAGGAGCCCTCCCGGGAGTGCCAGTACCCAGTCCTGTCTCCCATCATGGCCCAGGTCACCCTATGCTGCGACCGTCTCTTGACGCATCTGTGCCTACTGTATGCAGAAGAGTGGGGAGAGGGGTACCGCTTGAAGACTGGGACTGGACCCCATCATCTGAGTCCCCAGAACCCAGGCTCGAAGCCAGGCCTGCAACAGGCATTCAGTGAGATAAAATAGAACATCCACTTTCCAGATGTAAGGACTGCTGCTGTAAGGACTGCCACCTCCCTCCTTTCCTGTCCCCTACCTGCCCTGCCCCACTCATAGCCAGAATGGTCAGGAGACACTTTGGTCCAGATCCTTCACCTCCCTCTGCCCAGGGCCCTGCGAGAGGGTCTCCCGCGTGTAGGACACCCTTGGGAAGACTCTGTGACCAAAGCTCTGGATCTCAGCACTTATTTCACAACCATGGCTGGGGACACAGGGAAGGACAGAACTGGTACCCACAACTTGGCTATTCCAATTAGACATACAGGACGCAGGTGACAGAAACCTGCAACATGAGCCAAGAATAAAAACAGGCACAGAGAGAGGAGCATGGGTCCCACTACTAGGAGCTCCTCAAAGGAACAGAGGTCATTATATAAAAAAGGCATCCGCACCCACATGTTCATCATGGCACAGTTCACAATCACAAAGACGTAGGATCAACCTAAATGCCCATTAGTCGATCTGTGGATAATGAAAACATGGTGTATATACATCATAGAATACTATTCAGCTGTAAAAAGAACGAAATAATGTCCTTTGCAGCAACTTGGATGGAACTGGAGAACGTCACTCTAAGTGAATAACTCAGGAACAGAAAACCAAACACCCCCTCTTCTCACAGATAAGTGGGTGCTAAACTGAGGCTCTGTAAAGGCACAGGGAATGGTAGAATGGACACCGGAGACTTAGGGGAAGGGGGAGGAGGTGGAGGGAGGAGAAATCACCTGTTGGGTACAGTGTGTGCAGGTGGGGGTGGTGGGTACTCTTAAAATGCAGACCAAAACCTATTTATACTCCCCAAAGATATTGAAATTACAAAGAGAGAAGAGAGAGAGAGAGAGATTGCTTAGTTGCAATGAACTGTACTTCATTAGGATCCTGATTCAAATAAAGAAGCTGAAAATATTTTTAAAAGGGGGAGAAGAAGCATGGGGGAAGGGAGCCCAAGCTCACAAAGGAGGAGGGTGGGGAATACCCATCTCTTCCACCACTGGCCCCCACAGACTCTCCTGAGCTTCCTGGGACCCTCATTTCCTAACAGGTATCCTCCTGCCCAGTTGTTCCCTCCACGTGGAACATTCTCTCTTCTCCCCGACTCCACACTGGTCCTCTCTCAAGCCCAGCACTGCTTCAGACCCGGACCAAAGCACCCAGACCCCAGCATGGAAGCTGTCACCACTTCCCGCCTCAGGTGCTATAGCACCTGCCAGCACCTGCCATCACCTGCTGGTCTGTGGACATACTGCTGAGTATAGGTTGCCCACGGGAGCAGATGCCCAGCCAGGGGGGCAGGGCCTGAGGCTCCAGACCCAGCACCCACATGCAACACACGTCCAAGGCACTTGGGCTAGCCACTGAGAGGGCTGCTAAAAGGGGCCAAGGGGCTTCTGTGAGGGTCTTGTATTCCAGGAGGCCCCGAGACACCCAGGGTGGGGTCTGGGAAGGAGCAAGGTCAGGCCCTTCTGCCCAGCCTTCGGCCCAAACTTTCTGCTTCTCACTTCCTTTCCTCACACAGGAGTAGTAAGACTTGCACCTGGGCCTCTAGTACAGAACCACTCACCATACCTGGCATCTAAATGTAAATGAACTTGGCCGTGGCTCATGCCGGTAATCCCAGCACTTTGGGAGGTAGAGACCAGAAGATTGCCTGAGCCTAGAGTATGAGACTCTGGGAAACTTGGCAAGACTTCGTCTCTACAATAAATCAAAAAATTGGCCAGGTGTGGTGGTACATGCCTGTGGTTCCAGCCACTTGGAAGGCTGAGGTGGAAGGATCCCCTGAGCCCAACAAATGGAGGCTGCAGTGGCCGTGAGTGTGCCACTGCACTCCAGCCTGGGCAACAGAGTGAGACTCCAACTCAGAAAATAAAAATAAACAAATACATACATACATACATGAATGGAAATGAACTTGAATGAGATTAAAACATCAGCCCCTCAGTGGCACTAGCCACATTTCAGGTGTTCAACAGTCACACATGGTGAAAGGAGACTGTACCAGACAATATTGCAATGTATTGATCACACGGAAAGTTCTACTGGGCAGTGCTGACCTTGAGGGTGGAGATGAAGGCGTGGACCTCAGAGAAGAGAACACAGGGTAGCTCAGCCTGCCTTGCACTTGGTGTAGTGAGTTGAAGAATGCCCCACCCCCAAAAAAACTGTCCACCTGGAACCTCAGAATGTGATCTTACTTGGAAATAGGGTCACTGCAGATCTAATTAGCTAAGGATCAAGATAATATCCTGTATTTAGCATAGGCTTTAAATCCAATGACTAATGTCTTTATAAGAGACAGGAGAGGGGTCAGGGTACTGGTTCATGTCTGTAATACCAGCACTTCGGAAAGTCAAAGCAGGACTGCTTGCACCCAGGAGTTAAAGACTAGCCTGGGCAACATAGCAAGACCTCATGTCTACAAAAAAATTACAAAATTAATCAGGCATAGTGGCATGCTCCTGTAGTCTCAGCTACTTGGAGACTGAGGAGGGAGGATTGCTTAAGCCCAGGAGTTAGAGGTTGTGGTGAGCTGTGATCATGCCACTGCACTCCAGCCTGGCCGACAGTGTGAGACCCCGACTGAGAAAAAAGAGAAGATGGAAGAGGGAGACTTGAGACTCAGCCATGTGGCAAAGGAGGCAGAGACTAGAGTGATGCAGTCACAAGCCAAGGGACACCAAGGATTGCCAGCAGCCTTCAGAAGTTGAAGGAGGGGCCTAGAATGGTTCCACCCTTGGAGCTTGCTTCTTGAAGGATCCGACTCTGCTGACACCTTGCTTTCCAGAACTGTGGAGGAATAAATGCCTCTTGTTTGCAGCACTGATGTAGCATCCACAGGAGATAAACACACCTGGATGAGGGCTCCACGCTGCCCACCTGGGTGCCAGCAGATCTACACAGGGGCAGATGCCAAGACCCAGCCAGGAGTCATCCACATGCGTCAAGACTCAGGGTCCCAAGTCCTGGCCAAATGCCACCGTCCTTGGAGAAAGCCCCAGCTGCTCCCACTGCACTGGGAGTCCCTGCCCTCCTCTGCCCCTCGCCTGCATGCCACATCCCACTGCCCAGGGGTTTTCCAGCTCTCTCGGCCACCTCCTCTGCCTCCCGTCTCCACCCATGTGACCCATGATGTCCACTCGGCAGCCTCCCACGCCCTCCACCTAACTCTAGCCATGCTCGGTCTCAGCTTAATACCACTTGCTCAGAGGCTCCTGCCCTCCCACCCTCTGCCCGGCCTTGCGCAGGTCCTTGCTCTGCATTCGCTTCCCTGGACTTAGAGCCTTTGTCCTGCTGGAGCCTACACCTGTGGCTCAAATGATGCCCAATAACCACTGACTGACAGAAGGACTGGTTCTAGAAAGATGATCAGAACCTGAAGAAAAGAAGGGCACTCCCCCAGCAGTGAACACGACTTGAAGCTCACTTTGTCGTAAAGAAGACTTTATAATAAGGCTGGGTGCGGTGGTGCATGCTTGTAATCCTAGCACTCTGAGAGGCTGAGACAGGAGGACAACTTGAGGCCAGGAGTTCGAGACCAACCTGGGCAACATAGCAAGACTCTGTTTCTACAAAATATCAAAAAATTAGTCAGGTGTGGTGGCACATGCCTGTACTCCCAGTTACTTGGGAGGCTGAGCATAGAGGATGGCTTGAGCCCAGGAGGTCAGACTGCAGTGAACCATGATGGTGCCACTGTATTCCAGCCTGGGCAACAGAGCAAGACTCTTTGTTTAAAAAAAAAAAAAAAAAAAAAGAAGTCTCACATCTGTTCTCAGAGTGTCACTGCGATGAGAAGGGATGATAGCAGGGCTTCCCAGTTCCTCAGCTCTGAAAGGTTATGTATCAGGATTATACACTCGAGGTCAGGCGCAGTGGCTCACACCTGTAATCCCAGTACTTTGGGAGGTGGAGATGGAGAGGATTGCCTGAGCCCAGGGTTCGAGACCAGCCAGGGCAAATTGAGAAGACCTCATCTCTACAATAAATAAATATATTAGCTGGGCATGGTGGCACCTGTCTGTAGTTCCAGTTACTTGGAAGGCTGAGGTGGAAGGATCACCTGAGTCCAGGAGGTAGAGGCTGCAGTGGCCATAAGCATACATACCACTGCACTCCAGCCTGAGTGAGACCTTGACTTGAAAAAAATAAAGACTGCACATAGAGACTCTGACTTGGAAAAAAAAAAAGATTGCACATATGCACCCACCTAAACACACACACACACATAAAAATGAGCACACCCCCCACACGCACATTCAGGGTGTGAGCCCTGTGATGTCTGGTCCCTCCCCCTGCTGGCTGGCT